CTTTAGATTGCCAAATATTTTAATTTATATTATAAAAGAAGCTATATAAACTAGAAATAATATGAGTTAAATATAAATTAAAAATTAAATCATAAATTACAATGTGTATCAATAAGAAATCCGCACAAAGTGCCGACTTTTACCTGGTTAATATTAACTCTCCATCCGCAATATGTAACGTCTAATTACTATATGAAAATTAATATTAACTCTCCACTTATATCACAGAAAATAATATCCTGAGAATCAGGTCCATTATATTCATACAACATCTTTGAGCCTTGTCCTTTTTCAATCACATTCATCAACAGATTCAACACAATAACATTATCTACAAACAGAAAACCATCTAATTGGATTACAAGTTACATGCAAATCAATTTCAATTGGATGTCTTAGGACCAAAATATTTAGAAAGTTCTTTGATGATAGGCTTCTCTTTAATCTCATTCTCTCTATTTATCTGCCATTTCTTTGATGATTCTTCAGCCTGAATTGATATCAGAAGCTATGAATTAGTAAAAGAAGCAAAATACAGACGACGAAGGGTTCATTTGCATCGCTATTGCTAACAATAGATTTTGGATTAAACATTGCGAATAATCATGTTTGACTGATAAATATAACTTTTCGCAGTGTGATTTTATGAACCTAAAACTAATTTCGGAAAAAAGTTCATATTTAAAACTTCTATGAAATCAGCTTTGAGCCCACCAAAACAAATTTGCAGGTATCAGTATTCTTTAGCTCAAAAAAAATTCCTTTCAAACTCTATCCAAAACCTGCTATTGATAAATAGTAACAACAATGACAAACTAATCTTAAGGATTAAATCACAAATTTGATATTTGCATACCCATGTCTTTAAAGGCACCAATTGCTCTCTAATCATCTCAAGTTTTGGCTGAACGAGGTCTTTCCCTTTACTTCTAATTTCATCAGTCTGCCATAGATATAATAATCCCATCATCAATTGCAGAAGTGATCTGTAAAATGTCATCAAAACAATAAGCAATTTGTACACTACTTACATGATGCAGCTGTAGCTTGGAGACTGCCAAGCTGAACATTAGAGTGGCTCCACCAAACACTAATACAGTAGCAACTATAAAAGCCTTTCCAACTAGAATGAAACAGCAAACAGAGCCATTATCACCAGGCTTTGTCTCACTTAATAAAATTATACAATTCATCCAAAACACATGAAAATACTAACCATCCTCTTCCAATCAAGACATTCATCATAAATTTATTAGGTCTGTACAAATGAATTCCACAATTTGTGGAATTTATTTGAAACTTTGTGTTTTCAGTATTAAAGAAAATATTTATTTCACTCCAATAAAATCAGATTTACAAAATTCAATATAACTAAGTGCTTGTGTAGCATAAATGAATTCATAAAATTTTATAATATTTATTTATAAATCCATATTTTCATAATATTAATGGAAATTCAGCTAGATTTTTAGATTCTAGCTATTTAATTGTATGGAATTGATTATCCTTGGATTAAATTCTACCAACCTTGACTATAATTTGCAAATTAACTCTGATCTTAATAAAGGTCCAAGCTACTAGAATTAATGAATTATGAATTGCATAAGAATTAATCCCCAAAAATTTTAAAGACTGAAATTGCATTTGCTAGTACCAAACAAAGAAAGAAACACAGACCATTAGCAAGTCCTTCAGCAGCAGCCTTCAACTTCTCTGGATTGACAGGGGTATACCTGTCTTTTCTCATTTCATTCGCCGTAGACGCCATAACCGAGCTCTCTTGACTCGGCAATTCCCATCTGCAATTTCGCCCAAAATCAATCAATTAGAAAATTGAGAAGGGAAAACAATTCAGGTCTAATTTTAGAAAAGAAAAAAAAGTAATTACTAACCAGTTATTACCTTTTGGGACCAAAAGTGACCTGCGGCAAAGACAAATAAGCTCTAAGAGGATTCAATGCATTAGAGGATACAGTAGCGACCTTATTAGGATCGGAGTGTAGGGCCCACTTGGAGGCTGCAGAAAGAGAAGACGATGAATCGGACGGCTTGCTGTAAATGTAAGAAGGAAGGGAATGCCTCATTATCTCCGGTAGCACATCTGCTTGGGATTCGAGATCACTTGGAACAGGAGAGGACGGTAGGTTCTTGGCGTGGTTGGCGGTCTTGGTGGTGGATTTTTCGGCGAGGCGATTAACGGCATGTTTGGTTTCCTGGAAAAAGTAGGCTGCTTCTTTTCCGGCTAATCTTCCCGCGAGAAAACTCATTTTTTATCTTTACTGACAGAGGATTTTTTATTTGGTCCACGGTTTGCATTCTGTAAGGTATTTGTTTGCTTATGCTCGAGGTATTTAATATTTTTTCCATCAAAATATTTTTTTCAGTCAAATTAAATTACTTTGAATATTTAATGCGAGTACAGGTCTATCTTTTTCTTTCTTCTTGTGGAAGAAAATACTCATTTGTCTTATTTATGATTTTAAAAAGTAATAAATATTTTTTTTATATTAATTCTTGTATATAACTAATAATTATTATTATTCAATTTAATAATATTTTTAGAGAAATAGTATTAAATTAAAAATAATATAGTCAATTTACACAATAATTTAATGATTTTCTCAAGAGATGTGAAATTTCAAATGTGAAAAGTATAATGATACTGAGAATATTTGAATCTCTCTATATTTTTATTAAGGAAAAGTTACTATTTTATCTTTATATTTTCTTATAATATAAGAGTTTGTCGCTGCATTTAAAATTAATTACATAATTTAATCTCTAGTTTTTCTTTCATTACTCTGTTATTCAATTTTTTATACTTTCTCTTTTTGACATTTTTTCTATTTTTAATATTCATTCCGTCACAAATAAATATCATATTTCTACTTTTCTCGTTCGTAAGAAATCATTTAATTTGTCTTATTTATAATAAATTATTAAATAAATTGATTATATCACTCTTATTTACAATAAAAAGATAGATTTTCTTAAAAATTATAGCAATTAATGTTTTTCATTTGCAAGGGATGAAAATAAAATAAAATATATTATTTTTTTAAAATCCGCTAATGTGTCACTTATTTGTCAAGGCAGCATAAATTATCTAAACTTCTATGAAATTGGTCAATTTCAGATTAAAAATGAAAATTTTGACAACAACAATATAAAGAGGATGCTTTTGATAGACATTTCACAAATTATAAAATTTGATACAATAGACATTTCCACAAATTATAAAAATTTGATACAAAGCAAAATATATATAATATATATATTATATATATATTATCACATAGCTTCAAATTACAAATTTTATATGTTTTTAATCCTTTAAAAATCAATACTTCAAATTACAAATTTTATATGTTTAATCCTTAAAAAAAGATTTTCTTGTCATTTTTAATTATTAAATTATTTTATTTTAGTGGTAGAATTTTATTCTAAATAATTGATAATAAAACTTTTATAGTTTTAGTAAACTTTTATTTTATATTTCATGCAACACACATTTTTAAATCAACATTATTACCTTCTTTTATCTATTTCTTAAATTTAATAGTAAATTAGTAGATATATAAGTATTGAAATTAGACAAATTAAGTAAGATAAAGAGTAACTTAATTAAATTAAAAAATTATTTGATTACATAGTTATGATGATTTAATTAGTTTTTAATTATCATGTAAAAATTTCAAATAACAAATAAAAGTCAACAGCAAAAAAAAAAAAATACTCCCTCTCTTCTAAAATATAAGCCATTTTTTGTGATTATTTTGTCTCAAAATATAAGTCATTTTGAATTTTTCAAGGAGTAATAAATGATGTTTTTCAATATTATTTTTATTTGTATTAGATACAATAACTACTTTTACAAGTAACTTTCAATTTTGAGGTAAAAAATAATTTGATCAAATTACTTTTAATTTTATTATAATTTAAGATAATTAATTTATTTTCTTAATCCTTATGTAAAAATCTTAAACGAATTATATTTTAAGAAAGATGAAATAATAATTAAACAATAAATGGCAAGACGGCTTCGCCATAAAAATAAAAGGACCATATGAAAAAAAATTAGTGTTGGTCACATGTCATCCGAGAATGAAAAGTCAAGTGTAACGGCTATTTGACTTTCGAGGACCAAGCAGAAATGCAAATGTTAATCCTAGCTTGGGTTTGTTTAGTAAAATTATTTGTTTCCATAATTGTTAACTATTTTAATAGCGTTTAATTATTTGAGTATGTTAATTATTTTAATAGTATTTAACTGTTTGAGTATATTTTAGTAGCGTCTAACTGTTTAAGTAGTTAGTAATTATACATTATATGGGTTAACTTTTTATAAAACATTATCTTAATCTCTAAAAGTTAGTTCAAACACTATGTTATCAAATACTATAAAAAAATAATATCTAATCAAAATGCTAAAACCTACTTAAAAAAATTATTGGTGATTATAAGTTTAGAGAAGAAGTTTTTTGTGTAGATTATACTCAACTTCAATACGTACAATATGATATTGAAAAATAAATTCCAGAGCTGAATATAGAAATTGGTAATTGGATTTTGCATAAAGGTGAAAAAAGAGCTCAATGCACTAAAAAACACAGTTTGGAAGCAGATTTTTCTGTGGTTAAACCAAGAAAATCTATAGTTATTCACATGCTTCTGAGAATCGGATCGGACCGATCAGTTTGGCCGGTTTAATAAAAAATCGGACCGTAGTTCGGTCCGGATTGATTAATAAAGACGGGAAGTTAAAAAGCCGGTAAGAGTCGGAGAGAATAGATGAGAACCGGATTAAAAACCGGCGAACAGGACCCTTAAATATTACGGTTCGATTTGAATTTAAAAAAAAAAAGTAAAAAGAAAATGGAACGTCCTTTAAATCCTGTAGGAATGTAATCTGTGTACTTGAAACAAATAATTTCAAGTTTTAACGGGAAAATGGCCCTGCAACGTTTTAGTGATGTCATCGTTATCTGTGCAAGTTTAATTACTTCCTAATTTTTCAATGCAAGTTAATCTCAAATAATTAAGACTTTAAGTTCATTTTAATATATATATATATATATGGCTCTTGACTTTTGTTCGTACATTTGTTTACATCTGTATATATATATATTTTTTTTGGCTTTTTCCGAAGTTTAAATGGAGAAAACTACTTCTATCCTTAATATCAAAAGGAAATTGCAGTTCTTAAAAAAGAACAAAGAAATTGCATTTGCTATTAAAATTTTTTTTCATGAATTATTTTTCTTTCATAGTTAAATTATTATTTATCATCATCATCTTGACTTTTGTACATGCTCTAACTCGACCTTATTTGTTAATAATCCTCCTAAGTAGCAAATTAGTTTTTCTTATATATAAATTTTAATTTATTATTATTATTTTTCTTATATATAAAATTTTTAATTTATTATCTATTATTATTATTTATATATATATATATATATATATAATAATTTTTTTGTTATATATATATATATTTGTTTAATTCAATTTTATAGTACTAATTAAATTTTTCTTTTTACTATTAAATTTAGTCTTTTTTTATTCTTTTTTGTATTTAATATTTTATAAATCTTATATTTCAATTATATTTAAAAATATATATTGTTATCAATTTTTATAGTAACTAATTATTTTTCTTTTACTATTAAATTTAGTCTTTTTTATTCTTTTTGTATTTAATATTTATAAATCTTATATTTTCAATTATATTTAAAAATATTATACATAAAAATCTGGTTGAACCGTATTGAATCCAGTTGAACCTTTCGGTTCAATAAATCCCCGCCTTTCCGGTTCAATGACAGTTCCGATTCTCAGAATATTGATTATTTAAAAATAAAAATATAGCAATAGGTTATAGAAAGAGATATCTACTGTTAGCCTATTTCCATAAGCAGTGTTTCTAGAATATTAGAAACGGATTCCAATAGTTTCTAACTTTGCATCTGTTGTTAATTTTTGTATCTAATTTGGAACAAATTTAAAAATAGATATTTACTATTAAAACAATTTTCACTTTTTAAATGTGTGTAAAATCTGTTGCTAAATCTATTGTACCTGATATGTAAAGAAATCCTTTCTAATTTGGGCATATATAGAGGGAAGGAAACTTTTGTGCGGATTATCTTTCTTAGATAGTTAAAAATTATTCGTTGGGCATCCATGATCCACCCACTTTTTATCTAACAGGAACTTGGATGCTTGGATAATACATGATGTCGCTGGTATCAACTGTCCTTGAAGGAAATTACTTATTTAGACTGGGATTTTTTTAAAAATGTTTTAAACTTTATCCTTTTTTTCCGTTTATGGTTAAAAATATCTTCATTTCAAAAAAAAATCTCATTCTCATTTGTTTGGTCTATAAGTGGGGCCATAAATCCAGTATAAATAAAATTAACCCATCCTAGAATGTACTTGTAATTAGGAATGCAATTTAACCTGACCCCGCAAGTACCTGATCCGATTTTTTGTGGGTTTGGTTCGGGTGGTGTATAAATGGATTTTGGGAAGATTAGGATAGTGACTTTTTAGTACTCGCATCGAATTCAGATTCATGAGGTTGGGTAATGAGTATCTAATAGTAAACGAGTTTGGGACGAGTACCCGCCCCGTTACCCATTTAATTTAAAACAAAATTTTTATGGCCGTTACCCATTTGATTTAAAGCAAAATTTTTATGATGATTAGCAAAATCAAATCCATAACCTTGAACCTTTACATAAGAATTATGCTACCTGACCACCAAGCTATTTAACACTCTTATGTAAGAAATTACATAAATATATGTGACCTGCAACTAGAGTTATTTATACTTTAAATATTTATTAATGAATAAAATATTATTGTTAGTAATGTAATTTTATTTATAAGTAAATTTTAATAAAGTTGTGCACATTAAATTATAATATCTTAATAATTTGAATTTATTTTTTCATAAAATATAATAAACAAAATTATATATATAATATTCATGTCTTAGTAATTTAATTGAATTTTTTATAGTTTGGTAATTATAAAATTTAATAAAAATAAAAAATTTATTAATTGTATAGAGTACTAATAATGTTATAATTAATTTTTTTTTAAGCTACTTATCAATGTCAACAGTGAACTTCTAATGAAATTATAATTATATTTTAATTTAAAATATGACTCGTGTTGAATATGAAATCTAGATATACTTTTAATAAATTAAAATATGACTCATATAAAATATTACTAATAAACTTATAAACATAATTATAATTGGATTTTAATTAAATGCCCTCTTATTTTTTTATTAGTATCATCATATATATTAGTCTATTGTATATAGATTAAGAATTACAACAACCATAATTAATTATAACCTGCTAAATATATTCTCTAATAAAAAAGTATTAAACTTAAAACTTTACCTAATATTATTGTCATTACAATTACTATAATATTGAAATATGATTATAGCCTTTTAATTAATAGCTATAATAATAATAATAATAATAATATTAATAATAATAGACAAAAATAACTGTTTTACCATCAAATCCACGTAGTTTTGATGCAATCTCCAGATCTTAGATTTTTTTGAAAATAGTTTCTAATTGTTTTGCTATTTTTTAAACTATTTTCTTATTTAATTAAAATTTAAAAATATAAAATATTAAATATTTTATCAATTGTAACATTTGCTCATATATAGACAGGTCTGAATGAAAAATATAATATTTTTTATATTTCGCTTAGAGCATCTCAAATATTAATGTGGATTGTGGTTATTGTGTCGTGTGAAATTAAAGGTGTGAATGGTGATGTGGTGTTAAATGTGTATTTATAGACAATAAATTTTAAAAAACTCTCTCCAATGTATTAGTTTGAATCTTCTTCCATTATTTTTTTTTTTCTCTTTTCCAGTCTTATAATTTAATATGCAACTAATCAGAAAAAAAGTAATAAATGTTAACATTGTCTAACATACCTTCTAGAAATAGAAGGTGTAATAGACAATATTTATTAATTTTTTTTACACATCAGTTTAACATCTTAAATAGACATTAACTTTGAAAAGTAATTTTCAAAAGAGTCTTTTTATTTTTGAAAATTCACCTTTGCACAGGAGATACTCTTAGCTTTTCCAAACAAACAAGTGAAGGTAGCTTTTCATTGCTATTTTCTATTCCTGTTTTCTTTCCTCCCATAAAATCCTGGTCCCAAACAAACCGTAGAATAGTCGCTTACCCTCACTTCCTCTGTTTCTCCTCTCTGAAGACTTTCTTCCCGTACAACACTCTCAACGCCACCAACAAATAAAACTTTGGGAGCTCTTGCCTCTCTTTCGGACTGTTTTTCTGATTCTCAACAAGCCGTACAGATTCGTAAAGGCCAAGACAGATTGCCATTTTTTTTTAATTGGTAAGGACCTTTTTATTTGTTTATTTTTTTGTTTTTCGTTCACTACACCAAATTGCAATTCCCTCCGGCTGAGGAAGAGAGCAGCTTCAGAGGATGTTGACAGCGATGGGCGATGGCACAAGCATGAAATTCAACCTTTTCTTAATGTTTATTATGATTATTATTCTTTTGTTAAAGACTATAATTCAATTCAGTTTGCTATTTAGGCTGCATAACCTAATTAACAGAATTGCTTTTGAAGCTTATCAGGGAAAAAATGACTCTATCAGAGGACGAAATTAAGAGGCTTTTCAGAATACGAAAGACAGTCATGCAAATGCTCAAGGATAGGGGTTATCTCGTAACAGACTATGAGATCAACATGACAAGGGAACAGTTCATCTCAAAATATGGTGAGAACATGAAAAGGGAAGACCTTGTTATCAACAAATCCAGGCGTAATGAGCCCAGTGATCAGGTATATATCAACTTAATTCGGGTTCAAGCCATGTATGCACTCGTGTGTTGTTGTGTAGTGTTAGTTCTAGTGCGGTGCTGATTTTATGAGAAAGTTAACTCTTTGGTGAAATTCAATATGAGTGATAGCTACTTTTCTTTTGGTTATAAGCTTCTTTATGATAATCATGAGAGGAATTACAATATGTGATTCTTACTTACAGGGTGCGCTGCAATATGATTTCATTAAATTTTATAGGTTGGAGGACTAAAATAGACGGTTGATTGTATACCGTATTTTATGAGTATGAAATTGGGTTTTTACATCTTTATGTTCTTAGATCTTTCTTTCTCCTTTTCATTTGGACCATTTTTCTCTCCTGATTATTTTGATTGCAAATTTCTGCTTTTGTTCAGATGCTTGATTGAACAAAGATTTTACACACTTAAATAGAAAATATAAAAAAGTGTAGGCACGTAGAATGTTATTATCCAAAAGAAATTGCATACATAGCTGAGGTTGACCTGGAAGGGTAATGAGTTTGTGTGTTTCTTTTAGTTGTCGGGAGCAATAGATGGTCACAGTGCTCCTGCCACTCATCCCTCGTCTGCTTGTAAGTGCTTCTGGTTCTGGAATTATGTAGCCATTCATGTGGAAAAGAAGCTAGCACTATTATGGATAAGAGTTAGTTGTATTGAAGAATTTTTAAGTTTTCATCAGTATAAACATGTGAAATAATTTACATGTTTAGGCCTTCTTGCATTTGTTCTCTGTGTGAGAGTTTCACAATTGCACTCTATTTTTGGGTTCTAATGCAACTAAATGGCCAAAATTGGGATATTGTGGAGGTTAGCCATGCATGAAAGATGGAAGCAGTGTTGATTTGGCTGCTTCTGGAGCTAACTGTATTGTTACTTTTCATTTAGAGCAAGGTTTTACTAGACAAGCATTAAGACATCATGTACGCTTTGTTAGTTTTTAACGAGGATTGCATGGTCATAATGTCACTCATTATTGTTTCCTATGATATGATTTTTTTTATTAGAAGAGGGAACAAGAAAGAAATATATATGGATCTATATATATGGCTTAGATCCACAAAATACTAACAGCAGCTTAATTTCTTTCTCATTTACTTCCAAACACGTGAGTTTCAATTTCAAGGAAAGCATGATAGATGCAACCATGCATTCTTTGCGTTCTTTTACTGATCATCTTTATGGTTTCTTTTATACCAGATTTATGTTTTCTTTCCTGAAGAGCAGAAAGTTGGTGTCAAGACGATGAAGACTTATACCAATCGCATGAAAAATGAGAATGTTTACAGAGCGGTCTTGGTGGTTCAGCAAAATTTGACCCCTTTTGCTCGAACATGTATATCTGAGATAGCTTCAAAATTCCAGCTGGAGGTCTTCCAGGTAAAATTAGTTGCTAACTAAAGCTGCAAGGCAAATTCATCTTGTTTCATCGAAGCAATAAAGGATAATGCTACAATGTGGTGTAATTGTTCTGAATTTAATTCCTTTATGGAAAATCAAGGCTTTTTGCACTTCTGTTGTCCTCAAATCATACAATTAGGAATAATGCTTGGATGGATAGGTTCACTGATGGTTATGGTTAGGACGTGCTAGAATGGCTGCATCTCCTGTGGCATTCTTGAAAATCTATATACCTGCTGTTCTTTCATCCAATGTCCATGGCCAAAGCTCTGAAATAATACCCAAAAAAAAATTATAATAATAATTCTACAAAGTTCTTTTTTATGGTATCATTAATGGCTGCATCTCCTGTGGCATTCTTGAAAATCTATATACCTGCTGTTCTTTCATCCAATGTCCATGGCCAAAGCTCTGAAATAATACCCAAAAAAAAATTATAATAATAATTCTACAAAGTTCTTTTTTATGGTATCATTCACGCACATTAGATGTGAGTATGATTTTGGTCTTGCGAATGATCTACTGTCCTGTCCATGTTATCCTTGGTGGAATCCATTAACTGAACTGTTGAGTTTTGAATGAAACATGGGTGGTTCACCAAATTGTCAAATTTGATATTGAAAATCAAAATGGACTTGCGCTGAAGGCCACTTGGGTTTCAAAATGCTATTTTGGTAAAATATACCATTATCCTTTCTCCTAGTTATTAGTGTTTCATTTATGAATTGCTTAACCTGAGACTGCCTTAACTATTTTCAACTTCACTTCCTTTACATGCCCTCTTACCTTAATAGAAGAAGGAACATTGATGCCTTTCGATTCCATTCATACAGGAAGCAGAGCTGCTGGTTAACATCAAAGAGCATGTTCTTGTCCCTGAGCATCAGGTGCTAACAAATGAAGAGAAGAAGACATTGTTAGAGAGATACACTGTGAAGGAAACACAGGCAAGGGAAATCTTAATATTTCATTTTTTATAATACTTAATTATATATCTAATTTCTTCTACATTCTTTTAATTTCATTTGATGGTTGTTTTTGGATTGGGGGATCATATGACTGATGACTTGCCACTACCTAATCACTGTTTGCATGCACGTTGAACATTTTTCTTTTTGCAACCATTAGTTTACAGCCATATGAACATTTAGTTGCTGGTTTGCATGTAACCTTATGAAGAAGGGTTTCACTGCATGCATGAAGTGAATGAACAATCAGAGATGGATAAAATTTCTTGAAATGCATAGGCTAGTATGGTGGGGTGTGTTTGCACATATTGGCTTGCTAGGGTCAACCATTCTGGTTGTTGCATGCTGCCGAAGGCTAGCTTTCAATAGCTTTACATTAAAGGCTTGTCAAAGGATGGTTGGTTATTTAGAGAACTGCTTATAACAGAGCTACCTTACCTTTCACAATGAGCATCAGTGTGAGATTGAGCATGCTTGGCTTACTGTGCGTGTCTACACGTGTTTTGTGTGTCTATAACAATTTAACAAATAGGTAACTCTAACTTCCTTTTTGGGATAATTGATACGCTGGGCAGTGGGGCTTTCCTGTAAATTATGCTAGCAAATATCACCTAATTGTGAGACTTGGTATATGAGCATTTATGAGGAATTTTCTATTGATAGTGCTGATAGTGTCTGATTATATGTTGTGATTGTGCAGCTGCCTCGAATTCAGGTGACTGACCCAATTGCTAGGTATTTTGGGTTGAAGCGTGGGCAAGTTGTGAAGATCATCAGGCCTAGTGAAACTGCAGGACGATATATTACTTACCGATTTGTTGTATAATTAATTTGTTTGATGAATAGAAGGAAACTAGATTGATTCAGTGTTTGTATTTTGAGCTTTATTCGTGATTCTGTCAAGATAGTTAAATCTTAGCTCAAAAGACTGGATTTTGTGACAATTATTAACGATGCTGCTCTGAGCATAATTATCAAATCTGAATTAATCTTGGTTCATTTTGATATTTTTCTCCCTTTTGTGTTATACTACTCTTCTTGCACTGAAGAAACAAGCGTCTGAAAACTCGTAGCGCCTCAGCCTCAGGAAAAGAAATTTGAAGTCGTTTTTCAGTTTCCGTAATTTCACAATAAGAGGAGGATCTCAATTTATGCAGTCATTAGTTAACTTATGTGGGGTAAAAGTAGCATAAGGAATATGCTTGTATTCGTGTTAAAATTACACTAAATGCGTTTATGATTTATCGATAACAATGGAAGAGAAAATTGTTTGGCCTTTCCCATTCTTTCTTCTTCGGGCCTTTCCATCCCATCCTCGGAGCCATGGAAGTCCACTGGAATGTGGCGGGGCGGGGCGGGGCACTTGAACATTATTATCCAGGCAGCACAAACAAGGAGCCCCGCCACCATGGGCAATCTTCTAAAGCATGCATTTTCTTTTGTCCCTGAGATTTGTTTGAAACCAACAGTCCTTCCTTTAAATCTACCGTTAGGGTTCCCTTAAAGCTAAGTGAGGCGTCCCAACTTTTACATCCCAACGTTTAATTACTTGATTTTTTCTTTACATGTTTGTGATTTGAGCCAACTTCTTTTTTCTGTCTCAAGTATCAGTATTTGTATTTTCAATACTCTCCCCAAGAGTAAATCAACGAACCTCCGGACTTTTATGCTCTCCCCAAGAGCACCAACAGTCTGCTTGACCAAGTCTTTCATCAAAACCAAAAGGCTATTATTATCCTTAATGAAAGGTTGCTCTAGAAGTGCAACCTCTCCAACAGGTCCTCTCTCTGCATCTCGAGCTCCTTTTCCTTGCTCAGAATGCTCTCTGGGGTGTCCTCAATGGATACAAACTGTATCTGTGGGCAAGCCACAACTTGCATTGCTAGGTCATCAACTAATTTCTTAAATTTTTTGCAAGAAAATAAACAGATGTAGTACATGAATTTAGATCACCAAAATAGTTAATTAATTGTAATTATTTGCAACCAAATGCTCAAATTAACACGAAATTAGAATTCTTTTATTCACGAGTGGCTTTCAATAGGACTGGCCAATATTAGAATTAAGGATGGAGAAGAGACCTAGCCTATCTATATATAATCCTTATAACTGCCTCACCAGCTCATTAGAAGTGCATAAGCCTGTTACACAAGTGATTACTTAAATACAAATTTAACTCCATACATATATTCTTAAATTATATTTCTTACAGTCTATTTTCTCACACAAACGAACCAACAATTGATAGCAACCTACATTAAAATTTCGAACATTTTTCACTTCTACCTATAAAGTCAGTTTCACAATTGACTTTAATTAGAATTTCAATGTGAGAATCGTGAATGTAGGAGCCAATTCTACCTTCAGCTGCAAGCCCACGAGATTTCTTATCAGTGTTTGAAAGACCTTTCTTGCTGAGATACTCCTGTACCTTCTCAAGGTCGCCTCCAATTTAGACACAGCTTTCTTGCATTCCATCATCCCAGCTCCTATTTCTTCTCTTAGTTGTTTAACAAGTGCAACAAAAACTTGAACTGTTGGTGGTCTGCAAAATAAAGCAGGGCATATATAAGAACATGTTTAAATCTGTGGAATGTCCTCTAAGAACAATATAAATATGGGAGAGAGACATGCTCTATAGCAAAATTTTTTTTTCCCTAGCAATGGCTATTAGATTTTTGCTATTCTTCAGTTGTGTTAGGGCGACCCAATCGATTCCACGATACCAAGTTGGTCATACTCAATGTTGATGAATTAAAAAAAAAAAAAAAAAAAGCATATCGTTTCTTTGGCTCTTTAATAAGGCGAGATCTGCGCCGTATGTTGATAGTGTAGGATTCTCACTATCGATGGATCAATGGGTGTGCGCCGACTGGCGGTTCGTCAGGAGTCGGGAGGGCGCAGCATGGGCTGCATCGGCGTATTGTGCTTAGCGAGAACTATCCGAGTCTTGGACAGAGCCGCCTTGGTTTTGACAATTGGGACTATATCTCTCCGGGAATCATTCTCCTAGGATTTTCCCTTCTCCTTCCTTATTGGTCTCTCTGGCTTTTCTGGACCTTGAAACTTACTCTTCACGTTTATAATTACGACAAAGGAGCCCAAGCTCTTCCACTATAAACACACAAAGGGAGTAGCCTCCGTTCAAAAGGCGGCACCACCTCCAAAGCGGTGTGGCATGCATGGCCTTCTTAAAAGCACCTGTGTCAACTTTCTTTGTCCTTCTTATAATCCCGTCCCCCTCGAGAAGGTTTATCGGTATTTGGCAGGGCTATGTCATTGCCCTGGAAAACACCTACATCCAGCTTTCTACGATAGCAGTCCCTTCCTGGTGGATCAAACTACTCCTTACCGTGGTCAGTGGATTTCACGTGGCTTACACAAGAATAAAGAGTGAGGGTACCGGTCCCCATAGCGTTGGTTAACCATATTGCCTCCCTCAGGTATACGGATATATATCATCTCACCTTGGATTTGTTTTCTTATCACACGAGGTGTTTTAGGTGATTTTTTTCGATCGACCACGCCCCGAGGAGAATCCTTTGGTCTTAGTGTCCCTTTTTACACCATTGCTAGTCCTCAGTTAAGTATTCAGTATTTGCTATTTTCAATACTCTTCGCGGGCTACTGCAGCATGATGCGTCGAACAATCAAACGAGTTATTTCTCTAACGGCACGGCATGGGGGAGCATTTTATGAATGCTTTGGCATCCTCGGCCTCTCAAGGAGAGTGATGGCTCTCTAGGGCCAACTCGAGGATCCTTTGCTTTCTGTTGAGGACTTCAAAGTCGGTATTACTTTCCAGGTCATCAGTTAAAACGCCCTCCCGACGCACAAATACCGTGTCATAAGGGCTCTGTGAGTGTATCCTATAGAGGATGTCAATATATACACAACGGAGTGCTCTGTCGTCTAAGAGTGCAAACCGTCTTTGCGGCCCCCAACTAAGGTCCTCCTCTACTGTCCATCTCTGTCCGGGTGTGATTGCTGCCCTCATTTTACTTCTCCTCTGCAGGCTACAGGTAAATGCCCAATATTCCCTGGTTTTGCGATGTGCGCTGCTGTTGTCCTGCATTTGGGATGGCCGTGAACATTTGAAACGTGGTAAGACCATAGCGAGGAATCAGTGGCTGAGCTGCTGGAGGCTGGGCACGTGAAAGTCGAAAGTCCATCTCGAACTGGGGCGCCATATGTTGCCACCGGAGATGCTGAAACGGGGCCGATGGATCAGGTCAAACTTAGATCGTTAGATGGGAATCTCTTTTCTGTACATAGGCGGAGCTTTAGAAAGGAGGAATTTTAGCAATCTCTAAAAGAAACCGAAACAGATGTTGGTAGGTTACGATAGATATTTAGTATCTTTATGCCCCACAACGATAATGGAGTTAATGTACGACGGGATTGTAACACGCTTTAGTATTTTTTGTCATTAGTTTATTTTCGGGAACTTTAGGGACCTTTATATTGCTGCAGAATTTATGGAGCACCTTTAGTGAATATATTTTTTCTTTGGTAGGAATTGGTCTATTTTGTATTTTCTTTTTTTTAGCAGTAGTGCAGGTACTTTTATTTTGTTTTCTTTTATATTAGTTTGTGGATTCTGTTGTGTCTCTATAATAACTTGTTATGTACCGTCTTATATTAAGGATGGTTGAGAACGATCGTAGACGCGCGTAGAACCTAGACTATCTAACTAAGTTATAATTTCGCGTATCAACTTTGCCTTTCTGAACGGCATTTCCTCAATCTTATTTATTTCCCAACTACCCATGACCTTTTCATTTATGCCGTAAGCCGTGGTCGCCCTTTCTGAGAGGGGCCTTGTTTACATCACTAAGGGTGATTTACTCATAATACAAGGGTAGACTACCAACTATTTTATTGAGACCTTTAACATCGCCTGTCCACTCACTTCGCAGTTTACTTCTGTGTAATTACAGTATATCTTACTGGTAGGCGAGGGTCTCTCTTCTCCCACGGGACATCATTTAGGCCATTCGTAAAAGCCCCAAACCACCTTCATATTTCGGGTGATTTTTCGCTCAAACGCCTACAATTCGACAGTTATTTTTCTGTGACATACTCATTTCTCACTTTATATTGACCCTTATTCCTTCATTCAAGTGTCTCTAGTCACTCATTATATTTGACTGCAAATGTTAAAGATTAGATGAGGAATTTACATATTGTTAGTAAGAAATAATCGTTCCGTGGAATGTTAGGAGCCAATATCTTAACACTATTCTAATGACGGTGACCGCCGCCAACACGCACAAACGGAAAGAGTTTCTGAGGCTGTCCCAGTAAGCATTTACTTGCAATACAGGACCTTCTGCTTAGAACTCCTGTACCCTGTATCACTCAATTAGTTTTCCTTTTGCCTTCCCGGAAGATTGGAGATAAGTGCAAGTCTTACCACGACTTATCTTTGGTGTGACGCATTCCCTCATTCTATTTCCACCATTTTCAGTCTAGCCTGGAGACTTTCCAATTTGGTCATTCTTAGTTTATGTAATATACACATTAAAACAATAATTACTTTTAATCTATGCCTCTCTCTAAAACATAAAACATATAAGATTTCACGTTGAGAAACTTCGCAAAACCACTCTGTTAAATCAGTGTCAAAATGACGCTCTCCGTGGTGCTGAGCAGAAAATTAATCAGTCAGTGGCTATAAGGGATAATAAGGTGGATAACATGGTCTCCAGTAACAATATGGGCTAGGAGCTGGGGAAAATGTACCTCTCTTTTCCCAACGAACACGAATGATGTTACTATCAACTATGATACTGAGTTGGAGAGTCTAATCCGTCAGTTACAAGGAATTGCCCAAACAACTCCGTGCTTCCAATTTACTCAGCGGGTCTTAATGAATTTTCTCTTTTATTTCAAACCTAATGCATTGGAACTTGCGTTATGGCTCAGAATTTTTCTTCCTTCTGTGACACTCAGTTCTTACCCATTGTTATGTGCGCGCGTGTTGTAGGGAGTTCGACCCGCCTTTAAAGTCTGAATTCCCTCACTTCTTTTTTCATCAATCAACCCAGAGGGGCAATACCAGAGGTTTGGTGGATAAACTTCATTTTACTTCAGATTCTGCCAATCTGATCGTTTTACATTGTTAAGATTAATTGACAATACAATATTCACCAAGGAAAAAGAATGAAGTTTGGGTCCAGAACCGATCATAATCCTTATCGTTCTTTCTCTTCTAGCAGTTTCTCTTTATCGTCAACTCATTTGGCTTAGGCTCCCATTACTTGCCTCTCCTTTGCCCATACCAACTAATTTCTTTTCTTTACCATAATTGCTATGATAACGAGGTGAGTTTCAGTCCTTACGCGTCCGTTGGTTGTTACTCTTTCCTTTCTTGAGATATCTTCGATTAACTGTCCTTATTATTCTCTCCCTATATGCGTGTCCTGTGGTCCCATTTCTCTGCACCGACTCTCAAGTCTCACTCGGATATTTGGATAGACAACTGGTTTTGGTTGGACTCCAATTTAAGTGTCTTTTTTGCTGGCTTGTCAAGCACTGGACTAGTCTTACATTCGGGCCTACCAATATGGTACATTCTTTCTCCAAAGATTAGCCTTAATTGGCATAACAGATAGTAAGTAATCCATATTATTGAAGCTCTACCACATGCAAGTCATTCATCACCACATATTATGGTCTTATGTTGCATCGAAAAGTGGTGAGAAGTGTTTATGCGTGTCGTTGAGCTTAACTTTCTCTCTCTTGCTAGTCATTACCAATATAGCCTCAATGGCAAACCTGAAATATGTTCCACGACGGTGCTGGACACAGTGTGCTCGTGAGCCCCTTGCATGCTACTACTAACATGCCGATACTGCTGATCAGGACTTAATTATATAATGAACGAAGCTCACCTCAGCTGTAAAAACCTGGTTGGGCGGGCGTAAACTCGATAATACCCAACGCAACACAGCGCGATCTGAGACAAGCGCAGGTATTGTGTTAGTTAGGAGTCTGGTACAACGCAATTATAACATTTTTGGGCACGATTGTCTGTGGTGCGGAATTTCCTATTCTATTCAGCTGGTGCATTTATACAAAGTTTTAACCACAGTTATTTGTATAAGTACAATATAAGCCAGAGAATTAGGAACTCACCCTATCTTCGAAAATGCTCCACGTTATAGTGGTAGGATTAAGAAAATAAGGATATTACCATAGCTAATGAACCGCGTAAAATGGATGAATTTGAGCATAGGATCCATATTTTTCGGTAGAAGACGCTATCTCAGGGAGATTTGGCGATCTATTGTTCTTGGGTATCCATACAAGTCAATTATTGGCAACCTATCAAAAAAGGAGAAGTAGGCAAAAAAAAGAGGCCAGGGTGGAAAAGCTCTCGACAATGCGGAAGAATTTACCACCAAAATAGGACCTGAGGGAGGAGGGATCCGATAATTTTTTTTTTATGTTCTATTGTTTATCAAACTTTCTTCATTTTAAGCTAAAAAAATAGAACGATTATTTTGTTTCGGCAAATACCACTGATCTATAGGGTCAAACTAACTTCCTGTCGCGTGAGGTCAGCTCTACGTCAAAATCCTGCATACATTTAAGGGAGATATAAGACGGCTGACTTACTTTTTAAACAATAGTGAATATATTAACTTGTCCTCAGTAGTATGCATACCATTATGTTTATTCGGAAGTATTGGTAATCAACTCCCAAGGCAAGTTATCATCCGGGTGGCAAATATACGTCGATGGGCACCGTCTTTGGGGAAACCCGATTCAAGATCAACACCGTGTTGGTGGTAGTGAATTAGAAGAAAATGACCTTAATAACAAATAGTATTTTGGAAAGGACTTATATCTCTTACAACCTCTCACTCTAATTAGGTATTTCTCACGCATCCCTCCTTGAGGATGAGTAAACTCTTATTATCCAGACTCTCTTTTATTAATGTTAAAGCCTACATCTTCCACTCTTTTTAAGAAATATATTGTCGGCAAATATTCATCCCGGAGAGGATTTGAGTCTTAATGTCTCTAATGGGTCCCAGATTATTGTTTCACCCATGAATCCCGACGGTCATCACCTATTCAGGTCTTATCGTTGTCTTGGGATGTTTCCAATTGGTCCGTGGTTAAGCCTCTCCACAGCCGAATAAGCCCAATAATCTCTCCTCGGTGCCTCACAGTCTCCTTCACAATAGACCATAATGCGGTACCATCTACTTTATGATATCTCTATCGTAAACTCTCAAAATATATCATCGTTGGACGGTATGGGGTGGCTTGACAAGAGGACCTCTTCCTTCCGCAGACTGGGCCAATTTCGGCTCTTGTGTTCTGCTTTGTTGTTTTAGACAACTCCTCATTCAGGAACTTAGTCCATTCAGGATAAGTTCGGAGCATGATTTGTCCCACCCATAATGCCTCTTACTAATGTGGACCATCCCACTAGTTCCTTCACAGAAGAAACTGATACAACCTCGGATAGGCATAAGAACTTTCTGTTTCACAGATTTCATCTAACTATCAGTATAACGATCCTGGGCCCGTCAATTAACTCGAGCTCAAGGAACACCAGAGGTTATTTCCTCCCTTACAAGCTTCGCGCGTGGCTCTAGCCGGGGTGCATTTCTTTTTGCTATGAGTCGCTTGCATATGATAGAGGTCGACCTCTATCTGTATTTCCCTAATTCGGAAAGGTTAGTTATCGTAGCCCTTTCGAGCTTTATATTCAGATTCTTAAAGTCGTCCGCTCTGTTACCAGTTCTATCAGGGTCTTAGATAAAGCGTATATCCACTGAAACACATTTCCCTCTCTCCTTTAATTCATCACTTTACTTCTCAGTCCATGCGTGTTATGCTTCTTTCTTCGGTTGGCGATATGACGGTAGGAGTTTTATTTTACTAGAAAGTTTGGGTAAGATTTCTACTCGGTTGTCCTCGGCAAAAATTCCCAATATATGAGAGAAACACATTTATAATGTGCTGAATAATTAGTCCAGTGGGGCCGTGGTATATAAGCAAAAACCCCTATATGGGCTAAATAGCTTATTCAACATAATATCACTCGAGGACCGACTATACACAATATGTATGTGTGTTTGCTCACGGCAAATTAATTCTTAACATCCCGCAGACTTAGGACACCAGTATTGCGGACTGTTGATTATTCTAGGCTCTTCTCAGCAACCACTAGTCGAGAGCTGGGGATAAAATATTTAGTAATTCAGAACACGGGACTACGCAACTTATTTCAAACACCATTGATTTCTCATTTTACCGATACCATTCTACGGAAACGGTACTCTCCATACAAGTAACCTAAATATGCCATATTCTCACCCAAGAATATACGGTGCTACATTTTTGTCCATAAGTTCAGATTACAATGTTATTCACTTCGGGTCCACAAGAAGGAAGTGACTTTACCGCGCTACTTTGACTTTTTTCCCCAGTTTTTTCAGTCTGTTTCCTCCGTAAAAAAAGCGGGCAGGAAGGCGGAGGGTTTTTTCTTAGAGCTAAAGTCGGATGGCAAGGACCAAAGGGCGTCGCTCACTGATAACTACCTGTGTCTCAGTTTTAAAAAAAAAAAAAAAAAAAGAATTGGTAATCTATCTTATCTTCTATTCCTTCAGTTTTCTTTTCTACATCATTTTCTCCCATCTTCTTTCCACTAATTTCTTTTTCTTTTTCTTATCATCTACTCCTTTTTATCTTCTCTTATCCATTCTGCTATTTTTCTCCTCTTCCTTGTCCTTTTTGCACCACTCTCAGTCTCACTCGAATTTAGCATGAGATTTATGTCTTGCAGCCTGCAGAATTTCCTACCTTACTTCCAAAGAAATGATAACAGATAGAAAGTTCATATTATTGACTTACCACAGCATATTCATCAAAATCTATGTCTAGTGCTCACTTACTTCTTAGCAGCTTCATTGGCTTCACCTGAAGTACGCTGCTCTTTTGCTTGCGCTACAACCGATACTGCTGCAATTTGAGAAGCCACCTCAGCTGTAAAAACCTGAGTTTTGGGTAAATAATACCAACAGTGCAATTTTGTATTTAGTTTCACCTAATTTCAATTTGTCAATTTTTAATCACTTAATTTTAATTTTTGTTTCAACGGAAAATCACCTATTGAAATGCGATAATTGAAATAGTAATATGACGCTAAAAATTATATATTTCATAAAAGAAAATTCATGATCAAGAAGGAATATAAAAAGAGAAGAAAAAAATGTCGCAAAATACAAAGGTAGAATGATTTTTTTTTTTTTTTTTATAAAACTTGTTTCATATAAATGACATTATTTGTTCAATACATTAATAAATAACTCTTATATTAACATATAAGGAGAAAGTATTACTTTTTAAAATGAAATATTTTATTTTTAGAGCCATGTTAGTATTTTCAATAATCACATTTCGGTGAATAACCACCCGTTGAAACGAAAATCAAAGTTTAGTGATTAAAAAATTACAAATTAAAATTACTTAACCTTATTAAAGTTTACCCTCCTGAGTTTTTAGCCTATGAACCTCCTTCCTTTCATATTTTCTCCAATAGTTGCAATTATCTGTTTCACCCAATCCATCACCATAATCTTATCGTTCTTGATGTATGGTTGTTCCAGCAATCCCAACTCCTCAAGTCTCTTCATGATTCGACCATCTATTTTATAATCTTTAATCTAATCTGCTATGGTCTTGACAAGAGATCTTCCTTCCGCAACTCAATTTCTCTTTCCTTGTTTACAATCTCTTCAGGAACATCTTCGATAATGCTGCCACATGCATTTCTAAGTCATCCACTAGTTCCTTCAAAATGTCACCTCGAGAGGCAAAATCTGTTTCACAGATCATCTCTATCAGGATACCGATCCTGCCGTCATGAATGTAGGAACCAATTATTCCCTCAGTTGTGGCTCTACCGGGTTTTCTTTTCTGCGCTTGCTGATCCTTTCTTTCTAAGGAACTCCTGAGCTTTAACAATGTCCCCTCCAGTCTATCAGAGAACTTTCCTGAAATCCATCATTTCTGCTCTTGTTTCTTCTCGAAGCAGTTTTACTAGAGTTGGTGATATGGTTGTTGCAATCCATATAAAAACATAAGTGAATAATTAGTTAGTGGGATATGCAACTTAATATATACAATATCAAACACTAACAATATGTTTCTTTACTCGCAAACCATTTGTATCAGGCTTTAGCCCTGTCACTAAAATAGTAATCAGCATAATATTTTACCCCCAATATTTTCAGACAAAGCATAAGATATTGCATTGATAGTTAAATTTTCACACAAAAAGTGAAGTTTGATCCGAGTCCGTAAAAGCCAAAGGTTAACTAACATGGAGAAGGTAGAAACCTTTAGTTACACTCCCCTCAGGGGAAGCATTGTTGCTTTGTGCATTTGAAGTATCAAAAGGGCCATTTTTCTTCAGGGTGGGTTCCATTTTTCATTTTCAATTTGTATGGTAGAAGGAATTTCAGCCTCAACAACAGATGTTTGCTTTTCATCCTTGATGTTTTCAACTTGGTTTTCTAATGCATCTCCAATGTTCTAACTTTTTGAAGGTAAGATTTCAGCCTCACTTGTGCTTCTAGATTGCTCAGAATTTTCAGCACCCTTTTCTCCGTCTGTTCGTAAAATCAAATTCTGGAGAGAAAAGTATGATATAGAAATCATAGTACAAAGAAGAAAAAAACTACATGGGCAGCCACATTTCAGCTAAAAAGATCACAAAACTTTTAAGAGAAGGCCAAGTGAGCATATTTTTTATTCCGACTACTGAGGGGAAAAAAAAATGGAGGAGATGATACTGCATCTATTTTGTCATTTGTATAAAAACAAGTGAAGCATCATCTGCGCAGATTAGCAAAAATTTTTCTCTTCATTGACATTATTGTCCAGGACAAGACCCAAGACAACATTTGTCAAGTAAGAGGACTGTAGTTCAAAAATTCTTATCAAAAAATTGTAGCTTGAACATTTCTCCATCTTACATCATAAAAATATTTTTTTAAGACCAATTATTGGCTTTTGATGGAAATTACTTGCCTGGGTTGATAGCCACGCTTGTGAGCAAACCAATCACAGAAAGAATTCTTTAAAAAGTGTTCCGATTTTATCATTTTTTCCAATATATAGTTAGAAATAATCTCCTTTTAATAAAAAATCTTATTCTCATTGGTTTGGTCCATGAGTGAGGCCATGGATCCGGTATAAGTAAAATTTTTTCTCTTTTTATAAATTTTAAAAAATTTTGGCAGCCATATGGATCTTTGTTCAGCACTCAAAATTAAGAAAGACTTCATATCCAAAACTCAAATTTAAAACTTATAATTAGGAGAAATAAGATTCTCTATCATATCATTTAGCCTTTGCGATACCAATACTTTGTGTTAATGACCTTATTTAACCCTCAAAAAAAAAGTTAGTATAAAAAATTATTGTTTCCAAATTCTCATAACAATTGTCAGACCAATTCTAACGACGTAAATCGGATTAGCCGGCGAGGGGCAACATGTGGTTGTATATAACTGAATATAAATAGGCCGGGCCTGACGGTTGAATGAGGACAGAGGAAGCATAGAAAAGGATTAAAGGCAAAGAGAGTTAGTTAAGTATCCCTGACAAGTTCTCACGTGCCTTTGATGGTGCGTGGGGTTACATTTACATTCCAATTTCACAACTAGATTCCATAATAGAATACAAAGGGAAAGGTTTTCAACTACGTAATAATTTGTTCAACTAAGTTCAAATATTACTATTACACGCGCAATCCCACAATACACAGACCTAAACGCCCTTGGTGGGGTGTTGTAAGCACAGAAAAAAAATACACTCTGGACCACACCCACACTCTTACATTCCTCTGTTATTAAGTGCAGGAGATAGAGAAAGATCTCCTTTTTCATTGCTTCTGCACTGATTACAATATAGGGTGTAAATGAATTCACCTACTAAAACTCTACCTCCAAAATGTTTGAATTTAATAGCAATTTTTAAATTTAAGATGCAAAATATATAAGTTCTTAATGCTAATTGAATCAATTTGAATGTCAATCAAGTGTGGTACGGTTGTTCTTTTCATTCATATAAAGAGTGAATGGTACTAATTTAATGAGTCAAAAAGAAAACTACACTCTTATATAATTTCGGTCCACGATCCATCCGACCCGTAAAGGCTCGAATTTGAAATATTCTAATACTAGGAAGTTTGAATAATATATTGCATTTTGTTACAAGTATGAAAAGCTATCATTGGTGCAATTAATTTGTTCTACTAATTGATTGTGGAGTAGTGTGGACCAAATCAACAGCTAGCTACTATATATATACCCAATATTATTTCTTTCAATTTTCTCTGCACAAAGCGTGTTGCCTTTCTTAATTGCATGGTTGTTGTATGAAATAATGGGTCTTTACACTACTCTCATTAAAATTGGGTCTATAATTGAGTGGACTACCCATTACCCATTACCCATTACCCATTACCCATAACCCACTCCATCTAGCTCTATAGCTCTCACTGTTTATATAAGAAAAAAAAAAGAACTATTTTTTTTTTTTTGAAATAAAATAAAGAGTATACATTTAATTGTGTATATTCAAGAAATGTTTACTTTGCAATCATCTAATTCAAGTGGCGGATGTATATTGAGAAAAAGAAAATCAATTCATTCCTCTTCTTTAATTTTCTTTTTATATATATATAAATTCAGCTCTCTTAAAACTAAAATTAAATATTTAATATAATTGACCCGAAAAATTTATTTTTTAGATCCGCCCTTGCATCTAATTAACTTAGAAAATCAAAATTGAAATCAAACGCTTATGTGTATAAGATTATAACCATGCATTATATCAAAATGAGGAAAAAGACATATAACTAAGAACCACTCGACTTAATTACAGCTTAATCTCAAATTGGTTGGGATAAGATTTTGCCTTTAAGGTATTCCTTTTTCCTTCACAGAAATATATAGAAGGAAGAAAAATCAATTTATTATCTGAATATATAAATATATTTGATTCTTATTTTTTTATTTTGACATAAATTTTTTGAAATCACATTAACCTTCAACTTTTGTATTCTAATCACTACAAAAATTAAACAGAATAACTATATATGTATATTCTAGAGTTGCAGTATAAATATATCTTATACAATTACTTCTAATAATCTATGCTAGCTAGTATAATTAATTAACAAATTAATATAATACTGGCTATATATATAAACAACATAACAGGAACAAAAAATTAAAAGAAGAAGAAGAAAATCTTCATAACCTCCTCTTATTGTGCAAGGGATTTGATCCTGTAGGAACTTTTCGCTTCTGCGACTCCAATTCCTCAGCTCGGCCATGAAAACGAACGTTGTTAAAAGCGGTACGAAACGCTTGCCTTCGGCTTGTGGTGGCGGACGGTGCAGAAGGAAAAGGCCTTGCGGTGGCTTGACTTGTGTTAGCTAATGAGAAAAGTATAAGAGCAATAACAAAAATACAGAGGCGAAAGCGATTCATACTTTTTCTTGTTCTTTTCTTTTATTTTTTTCTGGCTTAGAGAATGTCTGTGAAAGAGATATTAGATAGAAAGGCAAGCTTTGCTGTATTATATATATATAATAAGAAAGGCAACTTTGCTGTATTATATATATATATATAATATATATATATATATATATATATATATATAAATTATATATGGAGAGTTGGAGATGGTCCATATTTCTAATTATATAAAATTCTGATCATGATGAAGTCACGATCGAACGGTGAGTATTCAAGTGGCGTATAATAATTTATGTGGGTAGAGTCAAACACATAATCCTGGAATGACGGTTAGGGAGAGAAGTCAACAAGGGGGTGGTGGTGGTGGTGGTGGCGGTGGTGGTGGTGGAGGAGGAGGAGGCCACGTATATATGTGAACTTGAAGGGTAAGAAAGTAAGGGTTTGCTGCGATTTTGATTTCCCTTTGAAGACCACAAACAATGCCCATTTCAATATTCTATTGGAAATCTAATAAAATAATAAAAAAATTTTGAACTTAACTTGTTGACAACATCCGTATTTAGTCTTTCGAGGGTTTTTTTTTTAATCCATTAGGATATGGTTAACGTCAATCGAAATTTGATTTTTTTTTTTTTCGAATTTTAAAGCCATCTTCTTGACTAAAAAAAAAAAAAAATAAAATTCGCACTACATAAAAAAAAAAAAAATCGCACTAAATTATAATTAAATTAATATAGAAAAATTTTTATTTTTAAACAATAATTTATAAAATTTTTAAATTATGATTATATTAATAATATAATCATAATTAATATTTAAAAATAGAGATGCTTATATATTAATTGAATCATAATTTAGGGACCAATTCAACTTTTTTCTATTATTGATTATTCTCTAAAAGTTATTTTTTAATACCAAGTCACAATATTTTATATAAAATACAAATTTTGTTTTGAATTTTGTGTTTATTTTCTTTAATAAATTTTCACTCTGATCTTCAGCGTAACTTATTATTGTCTCTTACTTCTTATAAATAATATGATTATAAACTTCAATACATGATATTAATATTCCATGAAAAAATATAGATGAATTAAGTAATTAAAATAATAAAAAAATGGAGAAGCATGCACGAAAGTTTAATTGTCAAAAGAAAAAAAAAAAAGAAAGAAAGCACACGCCTCAAGAAGCGCTATGTGCTGTGTAAATGTCAATAGTCAAATGCCGACGCACTCAATTAGCACTATAGAAAACAAGATATACTAGTGGTTAGAGGCGCGTAAAAAACAAAAAAAGCTATTAAACAAATAAAAAACATATAAAAAAGCAAAATAACGATTAATAAATAATAATAGTAATATGATAGTATGGACACGTATTGAAAATGTCGGCTAATACTAGATTGAAAATGTAATATAAAAACAACGTGTGATTATTTTAGGATTATAATTTTGGAACAACGGTTTACATGTCATGTATTTATTTTTTATTTATATAATATTAAAGTATGAATTTTATTTAGATTAAAATAAATATAAATGATTAATTTGTATTGCATTTTACAGTACAAACTATTTACAATACTATTTCTTATATACTTTATTTTCCAATCTTGCCTTCAACCTTTAATCAATATCTATATACAATTATAATAAAAATAATAATAAATTAATTTTTACAGCTAGGTAAAAGAAAAGAAATGGAGGATGATTTGAATTAATAATGGAAATCATTTTAGATACGGTGGCAGTATTATTTACCCAAATATCAAAGAGAGAAATATATGCACAAACATATGAATTTTTAAAACCCCAAAAAGTGACCTAAACAGAACTATATAGTTCTAATTTTTTTTTTTAGTTTTCTAAAAACTATTTTCTTTTAAATTAAACAAATTTAGGAATTAAGAGAAAAAATATCAAGAAAATTAAAAATGTATAATCATAAATAGACATCTATTTATTGCAAGGGGATATATATCTCTTATTAAATTAAAATAGTAATACTTACAAATTATTTAGTAACAAAAAGAAATTATTATTAAAAACAAAAATCTTTCAAAAATCATTTAACAAAAAAAGTTTCAATGTGTATAAATATATTAATAAAATATTATATATTTTTTTAAAATTAAAAATTTCAACTATTTACCATTCCAACTTTAATTATGTAAATTCTATTTAAAATTTTAATTTTTAAAAGATACATTCAACCAAATCTTACAAACATAAAGAAAAATATTAATAAAAATAATATACTTTTTTCTTTTTTTATCTCTCCTAATAAAATATTATATATATTCTATTTGAAATTTTATTATTAAAAAAATACATCCAATCAAATCATACAAACATAAAGAAAAAATTTTAATATATATATATCCTAAAAGAATTAAATATAATATATATATATCCTAAAAGAATTAA